TTAATGATATTTACAGCCTTTGTTGACATGAATCCACTTTAGTAGACTTTAGGGCTAACATTGTACAAATATTGTTGAATTTTTAAAAAATGACATTTAGAAAATAAACTTAGTTTCTTGGTGCTTTTTGCTTTAATACAAGTATAATTATTCAACTCAACATATATTTTTTTTTTAAATGTGATTACCTGACAAATCATGTTGATACTACAAAAAGCCAAGCCTTTGCAGTAGTAGACCTCCAGAACTAGAGGTGTCCCAGATTTGGGAAAAGGTGGTTGTCATCATTATTAATGCCAGTCTATAAATCCTGTTTGGCTAGATTCAAGAAACTATTAACAAATCTTATTAAGGAAAGTGTTATATTTTGAATGTCTTCCATGGTCTCTTACTTGGCACCACTTTTTTTTTTTTTTTTTTTTTTATTGCTTCCTCTCATTCTTACTTTCTTCTTGTCTTAATACCCTCATTCCTTTTAGCAGCCTCCCACAAAATTCTGCCCCATCCACATGACCTCACTTCTGTGCTCTTTTGTATTTCTGTTTGAGGGGATGGTGGGGAGTGTGGCACAAGTCTGTTGAAGACTATACATTAACATCTGTATGGATGAGGAATGGGAGGGATGGGTCGAAGCAGCTTGAGGGAGTGCTTCAACTGACAATTACACAGCTACCCCTTTTTTAGGTTCTGTTGAGAGGGGGCTGTGTGGGCTCATTCATTCTTGCTCACCTATCCCCCTCCCACTGAGAATTCTAGCAGTTCAGAGAGGTGTTGATGGAGACTGGGAAAGTTTGACAATCCAGGCATTAGGGCATGTGCCCTTGACTCTGAATAGGTGGATCTGAGTCTAACATGGCAGGCTGGAGGGAGTCCTGTGGCCCAACTGCCTGCTCCTGAAAGACAGCCTTGGTGAGCACCTAAGCACACTTCCACTCTCCCTTGGTGGTTGTCTCTGCTTGCACTCTGATTGCCAGCATTGCAGGTCTATAAATTCATCATGATAAGTCACATGTACGGGGGACTCATTCACAGATCAGAATGCTCATTTCAGTAAGGAAAAACTTGACCCATGAACTGTGAGTATATCACTTAAGATAATAGTAAAAATAATAACAATTACACAGATGGGTGAGAAGATTATTAGGTCATTGTCCCTCTGATGCCAGATTTCTCATTTACACCCTATTATCAAAATGCAAGTTAATCAACCACCAGGGGTTTTATTGGCTGATGTGGGATCTCCTCTGTATCCTTCAGAATTATCCTAATGGTGGATTTAGGGAGGCCTACAGTCTGGCCCACATCCTCTGACTGCTTCTTGGAGCTGCAGCAGAACTACAATTTTAATATCCATCTTGCACATTAAGCACTAAAATAATATCTTGTTTCCTTATTCATTGGCAAATAAACTACTTGCTGTGATTCTAAAGACCACTATTGGAAATTAGACTGTTAAAACATAGCAGAGACTCTGCTTGAATAGTCAAACAGATGGGCAAGCACCCTGCAAACTGAGGCCCTGGCCACCAAAAACGTCTTTAGAAGGAGGACATATTCATTTCCCATAGAGGTCCCTGGATTGGGTGATGGAAAGCACGAGTCCCTTCCTAGGCTCAGAGGAGCTAACTGGGGAGGAACTGTGAGGTAGAGATCAGGGGGCATGGGCTGCAGTGGATGTAATGTCCCAGAGAAGAAAATAAAGTCTTCAAAGTCAGTGAGTTAGAATGATGTGTTTCTAGGAGAATAGAGAAAGTAAAGGATGAACTGTAAATACCAGTGGTCGCATATCATGAATTGAAAATGTCAGTATTCGTTTTCCTACTCTTCAAATAACCGGACATGGAGACAGCATTTCTAGCAGCCACAAATAGAATTAACATAATGACACCAGATATTGTAGGGTTGAAAAATACCTTACACTTAGATGGATTCATTTTGTAAAGCCAGGTTTTTAATGTCCTATAGGTTAAATGCATAATTTTCTGTAAGGTGCCATCTTCTGGTGCCTGTAACTTTGGCGTGGGGGGTGGGGTTCTCTAGGGTTGAGTCATCGACAGCATGGGTCTTCTCTTCACAGGGCCCATCAGGCAGTATCCCCACAGGCCGAGCATGCCCTACACACAGGGCCGAGGCATGCATAAAGTGCAAGACATGGCCTCTGCCCTCATTACAGTCTAATGATGGGCCAGATGCCTTAAACTGTGGCCGTTGTAATATTATTATAACTATATGATGAACAAGTATCTGTACAATGATAATTATTGCTTTTTTATATTAACATAGGGCTTCCCTTGATTTTTAAAGTATTTTTACATTAGCACAATGCACAAATCTTTAACATAGAGTTTGATGAACTCTTACATCTGGGTATACCCATATAGCCAGGACCCAATCAAGGCTGAGGAAGTTGGTGCAGAGAGGAGGCTGTGAACTCCTGGTGTGTGGAAGCAGTTACAATGAAAAAAGTGAGGAGTAGATACGATCAGAGTTACATTTTATCACTCAGGGATCATCACTTAATTAGTGCATCATCTTCATGTCTGGCCCAGTAACATTTGGCAAGCTTTTAATTTATGTTTCAACAATAAACCTTTAATAAGTAATGAAAAAGTAAATTAACCGTCTCCATATGATGATTACAATTTGGATATTATTTTAAGCATTTTAGCTTATAGTTAGCAGTGTTTATAGCAGAAAATTGATTTTCTTGTTAACTATAAGGACGTATAGCAAACACAGTTAAATACAGTCTTTTTTGACATTAATCCATTTTAGCAGACTTTGGATCAGCTTTAGGGGAGCTGACTTGACTATTTTGCAGATGGATATTCCAGGGCTCAATATAATCTACACTGAGAAACTAAATCAAGGAAAGAAACTCAAATAGCTCTTTTTGATCACTTTGCCCTGGCCATAATTACTTTCAAAGGGACTACATAAGATGTCTATTACATTATTTATGATGGCTAATACTTAAAATTTACTACATATCCAACAGTAGGGGAAGAGTTAAGAGTTAACAACAATATGTGCCACTAAAAGTTATGTTTACAAAAATTTTTAAAGCTCTGGCAAATGATTGTGATTTAATTTAAAAAGCAGAATACCCTCCACTCTGTGCCTTATTCTCACAACTGTGTACAGATTTGTAGAGAAGTGTAACAAAATCTTAAAATCCATCTTGAGGATTCTTGTGATCCCTTTCCTTTTTTCAGGAGGAATTTACCATCCTATTATATGTTCTTTTATTTAAATAAAAATGTTGAGCTATTTTCTGATAAAATATGAAAAGATAATATGCTCATAAAAAGCTTAGAGAATATGGAAAAGATGAGAGCAAACAATAAAATCAACCATAATTCCACCACCTAAAGATAAATCAGCCCTGCATCCCTTCTTTCAGAGAAACTATCAAAATCAATCAACAAATGTATGTGGTGAGCCTACTAAACACTGTAGGCAATAAAAATAAGTATGAGGTAACACTACAAGATAAACGGCATGCAGTAATGGGACAAGCATGGCAAACACATCACCACCACCCCCTCCTTTCCCCATGACAGACATTGCTAATCAATCATAGGATTCTGTCCTTCTGAGTCTGGAGGAGGTTTGAAAATCCTCAGCAATGTTCTGGGTAGCCACTAGCAATTAGTCTGCATGTGAGATAAAAGATATTTGCCACTACTTCTGGAAAAGTCTATCCAATCTGACAAACACTGGTATATCTTTAAACAAAATTAAGGTGATTAAAAGGCAGAGTTCAGGACTATGTGAAACAAAGACAACATGGGGTAATGGGTGGTATGACTAGGGTAGCGAATAGATGAAATCACACACACACACACACACACACACACACACACACACACACACAGCACTTTATTCCTGGCCCAAGCTTTTAACTTCTTTAGACAAATTCCAACACCTTAAAGTGAGCCAAACCCTCTAATGTTGGCCATCAACAAGAATATGATAATGAGAATTTTCTTGGCTGTTCTGATGGAGTAAACAGTTGTTCTTGCTAAGGCTCTCTAAGAGCTGCTGCTGTCATAGATAACAGTTCCTGCATTAGCAGCCATCTGGCAGTAACTTGCTAATAGAAAGCTCTTTGGGTAGTTGGAGTACAAAATATATCCTATAAATCTGCATTTTCTGCTGTGGTTGGAGGATTTCAATGAAATCTTTCACAGACTTTTTATGTGCTCATTTGGAAGCCATCACCAATAAGCTATTCCCAGGATTAAGTCTGAAATTTATGACCCTTCAAATGTTCCCTGAATAATCCTGGACACTATTTTTGACCAGCTAAACTGTTGCCAAAACAAGTCGTGTGACACATGGCAAAAAACCATGACATGTTGCAGGCTCAGATTTATACATATGTGTGTCATGGGATATTGGCTTGAATGGATAGAAGGAAAGTGGCTCTTTGTCTTTACTTTTTATGTCATTCAAGACTTAAAATTTTTGTGTCTGAGGCAAAATTTGTCTTTTCCGCACAGTCTTTCATTCTGCCCTTCGGTGATAGTATAAATTATTGATCTACTGAAGTTCCAGACATTATCCCAATCCCTTTGCACATATGCTGCTATTGAGAATAGTGTGGAACTAAAAGGCAATACCATGGAGGTCCCTGTTCTTAAGGAGTCACTATCACCATAGCTCCTGTGCAGCTCAAAAGGACCTGGCCAACTTTAGGACCCAGATTTATGGCTTTCACAGAAATTTTCACTCCCTTCCTCACCTCTTGCTGCTGGTTCAGAAAACCCTGAAATGCAGCATAGGGATGGATGCCTTCTCAGAACTTGAGAGGCTCCACTTGAGTCGCTGGTGCCATTTTCAGCCTGTCTACCTTGACCACTCAACCAACCTATCCAGAAGGTGGCAGCTTTTTGTGTGGAAATTGTGTCTGTTCACGGAGTGCCGATGCTTTTCTCTTGTTTCCCATATTCAGGTCACTCAAACCTTCCACTGAGTTCTTTCATTCTCTTCTCTTGTTTGCCATATCTGGGTGTTTCCAAGTTTTATCTTTTACACAGACCCTGTTACAAGCACCTTCTCATTTTTTTTTTTTAATTTTTTTTTCAACGTTTATTTATTTTTTGGGGGGACAGAGAGAGACAGAGCATGAACGGGGGAGGGGCAGAGAGAGAGGGAGACACAGAATCGGAAACAGGCTCCAGGCTCCGAGCCATCAGCCCAGAGCCTGATGCGGGGCTCGAACTCACGGACCGCGAGATCGTGACCTGGCTGAAGTCGGACGCTTAACCGACTGCGCCACCCAGGCGCCCCAACACCTTCTCATTATTAAGAAAGATGTTATAAAATAATGAGAGTCCTTGACTTCAAAGTCTTGCTCCACCCCTTTCTTGATGATGTTACCTTTTTTAAGCCACCTACTGTCTCTGACTTGCAGCTTCAGTTAAGAGCAAGGGCTTTGGGTAATGGGCTGGGTTTGAATTCTGCCCTTGTCTAGCTTTGAGGCTTTGTGCAAGTAACTTAACCTCCCTGAGCTTATTTTCCTCATCTGTAAAATGGGAATAATGGCCATCTCTCTGTCTATCTAACCAATGGAAACTGGAAAAGGTTTCCTCTACTCATGAAACATAGTCAACATGAAACACAATCAAGTGCCTCTTAGCAGCCGCTAGTAGGCACTGAGAAAGAATGTTTTTGACTCTGTAATGACTTCAACAAGAGAATTCTCAACTTACATACTAACATCTACTAGGCATTGTGTGTATTTGTACAACCTGTGTGTTGGCTCAGGCTGTTACTATGTTTATCCTTGAGAGGAGGTGTAGCATAATGGTTAAGTGCTAAGACCTTGGAGCTAGATTACCCAAATTTAAATCCTAGCACTACCATTACTAGCCCTGTGATCTTGAGAAGCTTACTTAACCTCTCTGGGCCTGTATCCTTATCTATAAAATGGGCATACTACAGGGTATTTACTCCATAGGTTACTTGTGAGAATTGAATGACTTATTACATGTAAAGCAGTTAGAAGAGTGGCTCAGCACCTAAGAATACAGTGTTAGCTATTATTATCATCCTAGTGGCATCTATTTATTGGAAGAGCTCCAAAACCCATGGGGTGTGGGTGTAGGTGTGCACATGCACGTCCATGGCTTACAGAACTCTCCTTGCCTCTTTTACTCTCCAGAGATTAAGGATCACCTTTTTAAATGACACCTGGATGGCTCAGTCAGTTGAGTGTCTGACTCTTGATTTCAGCTCAGGTCATGATCTCATTTTCTTGAGATCAAGCCTCATGTAGGATTCCACGCTGAATGTCCAGACTGCTTGGGATTCTTTTTCTCTCTTCCTCTCTGCTCTCTCTCTTTCTCAAAAAAAAAAAAAAAAAAAGACAACTAGGCTATGGATATTTATTTCAGTGGAGGCTTTGACGCCGAGAATTCATATCAGAACTCTTGCTTCTACTGAGCCAATCTTGCTTTCAAACTTCTAGATACTGTCAGTTCTGTGAAGTCAGAACCCTATCATTCCTGCAGAAAGAGAATTAGGTCCTCGTTGAGCCCCTCCCGTGGCACAGGCAGTGGGCTGTGCAAACTAGCATAAGTTCTCCCTAAAGACAGTAAATGAGGGAGAGAACCAAAAAGGGGAAAAGAGGGAGAAAAAGCAAAGAAAAGAGGGTATAAAGTTCTTGGAGGAGCACCTGAGTGGTTCAGTTGGTTAAGCCTCTGACCAGCTCAGGTCATGATCTCACAGTTCATGGGGTTGAGCCCTGCATTGGGCTCTGTGCTGACAGCTCAGAGCCTGGAGCCTGCTTCAGATTCTGTGTCTTCCTCTCTCTCAAAAATAAATAAACATTTAAATAAATAGCTAGCTAGCTAGCTAGCTCTTGGAATTTTTCCACATTCAGTTTTTCTCTCCCCTCTGTCTCTCCTTCTTAGATACGGAGGTGGCCACCGGATATCTTGGGTTTTTTGGGGGGATGGTCATTTTTGTCTATTCTTGCTGTCATCCCCATAGCATGCCTGTTACTGGGCCATAAATTCTAAATTTGGGGTTTGGAACATATGATCACGCAAAGGAATAGAACCCTTTGCTTTCACTGTTTGAAAAATAAATACTCTCAAAGACAGGGTAGGGAAGTATTCCTGGAGCAGGCTGGGATTTGTCCCTCTGGGAACCAAGGCAACGCTCTGGGTGTTTGGCACACAAACCTTGAGTCCTCCGCTGGGCACTGCTGTGTCTGGTGGCCAGCCCTGACTGCACCCTCACATGGCCACTGATCCCAGGCCCCAGAGCCTGGTCTTTGTTGCTCCCCGTGCTGCTCCTTGCTCTCCTCTGTGTCTTTGCCTTCTCCCTTCTTGTCTCTCTCAGCTTCCTCCTCCACCATTGAAGCGAGGTCATCCTGGAGTGTTGGCGCCACATTAGGAGCTGCCAAACCCCCCCCCCCCCCCACACACACACACAGACCACCAGGTTCACATCTATGCGGAGAAAAAGCTCCCCAAAGTTTTCACACAGTGTTTTGCTTCACCCATCTAGGATCAAGTAAAATTTCACAAAGTTAACTCAAGGAATGAAAGAACTATCACAAACCTGTTCTCTGTCAGGCACTAAGTTAGTGCTGGTGACTAAGACATAGACCCTGTTCCTAAGGGGCCTGCAGTCCAGTGAGGGAGGGAGACAGGAGCAGAGGCTCAGAGTGATCCAGTGTGGTAAGTGCCAGGACAGGCCTGAGAACCCACGCCAGCCCTGGGGGGTCTGGGAAGGCCTCCAAGAGGCCTCCACAATCTGCGCCCTGAAAAATGAGTAGTAGCCAGACAACAGCAGGAGAAGACAAGAGCCTTCTCGTATTTAATTCTCACAACCCAAGAATTTATTACAATCTTCATTTTAGCAATGAAGAAACCCAAGCTGAGAGGATACAGTTAGTTACTCAAAATCAGCCACCTAGTAAAGAGTAAAGCCAGGATACAAACCCAGACTTCAGCTCTCAAAGCAAAAGCTGTGTGTTCCAGGCCCATTGTGTCTTATTTCTGAAAGTGACTTTGAAAACAACCCCCCCAAAAAATGACCAGGCCTAGTCATTTTGGCCACATAGATAGGCATCTGATCTCAACTTGGTTCAGGTTCAGCTGCTTCTCTGACATTACAGCACTTGGAGCTTTGTGTTCAGTGACTCAGGGGATGTTTTAAGGCAATTTTTTTGTCCTTCGGATGCATTCAGATGTTCCACATTGAGTAAGACCAGATTGAAAGGCAGCTCTAAAAAAACTCCAGCTGAGTTGCTGTGTATGGTTGTTCAGACTGTCTACTGTACCAGTGCAGCTGGCCAAGGGGACCACTGGGGCTGACTGCATCCTGCACTCAATGAGCCCTGGCATGGAGCTTGTCTGTCCACCCAGACGACGGGCGCCTTCTTTCCAACTGAGACACAGAGTTCCCAAACCCAACAGTTTCTCTCAGATATGTGATGCTTATTGGACCACGGTGGCCATTTCTCCGTCTGTACTTTTATACATTGCTATCATTCAGAGTCTTCTAAAATTTTCATAACAGGCCTCCATCAAAAGCCAGTTCTGTATTTTTGTGGGTTTTCCTCATGGATTTAGCTAATACAAATAGAAATGTAAAAAACCTGTTCTTTTGCACCCACAAATGTGCTACATTGGGCTGTTGCCCAACTCCATCTAGTTTGGGAACTGTGATTCCCCAGGAATTAGGAAAAGCATTCCTAGCTTCTCCCTGATTGCTGGATTAGCACAGCGTCCCTCAGCCCACAGCTGAATTCCAGCCCTGAGGAAGAAATGTCTTATTAGACTGAGTGAACTCCCAGCCTGGAGCCTGTCAGAGGCGGTGTCATGTGTTTGCATTAGCTGAACAAAAAGCAAGCAGGCTTTCTGGCCTCACTCCCCCTCCTCCCGCACCCCCCTCTGGAGGGGCCGGTTAAAGTCTAGACAGTGTCTGCTTGGCACTATGCCTTTTTAGCACAATCTGCACGGTTCTGCAGCTCTCGCTTGGGTTGCCTTTCCTCACTCACTTCCCCAGTTTTCTTGGTCGGCCTCAAACTGTCTCGGGGAGACTGGCATGAGCCGCACACATAAGAAGCAAGTGAGTGAATTTATGAGACCATCAGGTTTCAGCTGTCTGGAGAGGTTCGCAGTTGAGGAAATACCAGCAGTGCTGGCTGAAGCTGCGTCTGAGCTTACAGAGATCCCTGATGTGAGCTGGCTTCAAACAAGCCTCTGCTTCTTGGCCAGACATGGGCTGGAGTGAACAACCCACGACAGACAGTGGCACCCAGGTCTTGAGCCTCTTGCCTTCCGTTGATAGTATGAACTTGGGCAAGTCACCGGCCGCCTCATCTTGAAAATACGGGGGTTAGAGCAGGTGAGCTCTGGAACCCAGCCCAGAAATCCTATCCGTAGGAAAGGAGGCAGACATGTTAGGTTGGATTGTCAAAATACTCTTAATGGAGTTAGGATATTTGATTAGCTCTTGTCTTAATTGATGGTCCCGAGGAGGAGCGGTTTGAAAAGAGAAGCTGGCCCAGGAGTGGGAAAAGAGTGACTAAAAGCAGTTGGCATTTCGTGTGTCTTACTGTCTCCTGTGTATATGGAGTGCAATATAAATAGTACAGCATGTGGCACCCAAGCAGTCTGCATGCCCAGGAATCCCAAATGCTGTTTACTCTATAGAAAGGAACCACTTGATTTTCCACTTCAGAAACCAGCTGCTCAACAACACTGGGCAAGAAATGAAGGATGCTGGGTCTCTTTGGGGTTGAGCAAAGAATTTTTTAAAAAAGGAAGACAATCCAGAATTCTAAAGTGTGCAACTTGAGCTTTTATTGAACTGATTAAAAAAACAAAGACAAAACTTTCTTCTGACCTTTGTAAATATAAGTTAAAATAGAAATTAAATATAAATTAAAAATAACGATGCAGGGGTGCCTGGGTGGCCCAGTTGGTTTAGGCATGTGACTCTTGATTTCTGCTCAAGTCCAGATCTCAAAACCATGGGATCGAGCCCCACGTCAGGCTCTGCCACAGTGAGTGTGGAGCCTGCTTAAGATTCTCTCTCTCTCTCTCTCTCTCTCTCTCTCTCTCTCTCTCTCTCTCTCCCTCTGCCCCTCTCCCACTTGTGTGTATTCTCTGCCTCTAAAATTAAAATAATGATGATGTTGATGATGTTGATGATGATGATGATGATGATGTAGTATTGAAATGGCTTATAAAAATAACTGTTTGAAAATGCTGTGTGGACCCTAATATTGCTTTCTGGGTCACCAGTGCTACCTGGCCCATGACCAGGATCCTGGGTTTCCTGAACAGGTATTGATGAAGTTGCTGCCCTGGCCCCCATGCCTTTCTCCAAATCAGTTCAGGGCTGTTATAGCTGAGGGCACTGCTCTTTGGCCTTGACCTCAGCAG